TATCTAGCCGAACAACTGTATATAAAGCGATAATCCAGCCACATTTTGATTACTGTTCTTCTATTTTATATCTTCTACAAAAAAATGAAATCCAAATATTACAAAAATTGCAGAACAGAGGAATGCGAGTAATTTTACAATGCAACAGATACACCCCAATAAAAACGATGCTCGCAGCATTGAAATGGCAATCAGTAGATCAAAGACTGTATTATATGGCCATGCTATTTGTCTTTAAAATCACAAGGAATATGTTTCCTGATTACTTCAATCAATTTGTTACATACAACAATGAACTCCATAACTATAATACACGGTCCGTACATAATTTTCATATCAATAGGACAAAGCTGAAGAGTTCAATGAAATCTATATTTTTCAAAGGATTGAATGAATATAATCAATTACCAGAGGAAATAAAACAATGTAATACGATATATTGCTTCAAAACGAAATTGTTATCATACATTCTATCAAGAGATGGCCAACTCTAATATTAGTTGTTTTAAGGCACTTTAAATTATTTGGCTGTGGCTATATTTTTATTACTAACTAATGTCATTTTATTGTTTGTTTTTTTAATAATCACATTTTATTTTATATTAAATCTTATATTTATTCTTAATAATGTATTTCACTTAAGTTTAGTAACTGATTTTTTAACAAATTGTCTTTTGTAAATTTTATAATATGAAATTATGTATGTATATTAGGGTATCCTATTTAAATAAATACTACTACTACTACTAAATAATATGGTGTTCCCCGAGGCATATAACCTCCAGAAATTCAAGAAGAACACCAATTCCTACCGTATTTCCCTTGGTTCTCACGATGTTTTCTGAACATAACAGGATATCCCTTTTCGTGGGAACCAGAATACATAAAAACAAAAATCAGCGATACGCTACTGTTCGGGCTTCAGTGAGAAATATGTTTGCACTATTTTAATGGAAGAGTATAGAGAAACTCAATCCATTCTCTCACAAGGAGGATTTGTGTCTCATATTATTTTTTCAGATGGTTCCAGGCTTGACTAGTGTGTCCTGCTCACTAGGAAGAGAATAAAATGCCAGTTCGTCCTAAAAGCTCAACAGGCTCAAAAAATTAAGAAGATCACGTAATCTGACGTCACCGATTTGATTTTCATGATCCAGTATAGGAGCAACAATCCCTTGCTTAACTAATCTCAACTCAAACAAACAGAAAGCAGTGGAACAAATAATTTCCGAACATAACCTGAATAATTTTCAAATTCGTTTGAGTTTGGTTTCGATTGGATGCATATTGGATGTTTTGATCGTTGGTGATGATGGAAAGAAAAGAGTGATTATCATGATAAATCCGTTGGCATTGTTCGAGGATGATGTCCGAATTCGCGTCTTTTACCTGGGGAATGTTAACAATTCTACTATCCTTCTTTTACCATATTTATTCATTATTGTTGCATTTTTGCCACTTCCTTTGTTTTCATTTGTCATCCAACTTGATCAATTTATGGGCATAGCCCAGTTGCGCCAATTTTAAACAGGGGCCAGATATCATATAACCCAATTGCGCCCGCAACACCAGCCCCTAAAATCACCATGACCCACTTGCGCCGATTGTCTCTACGGGAGATCTATTACAGATTATAGCGCTAGAGGACCCGAATAGGGTTTTCAAATGCCGGTTTTACTTTTCAACTAAAATACTTAAAATAATCATTGACGAAGTATACAAGACATCTATTCAAAGTGTACAAGTAATTTATTTATATACGAATTTTATTATAATGATAAGACGCAATTTTTACAAAATCGAACCTCTCAATTTGTCCTTGTTTAAATAAATTTAATTTTTCTGCTAAGATTTCAATTCTGTCATTATACGATTTATTTGTAATTTCAATTGGTAAATGAATAGTATTAATTTCAATGTAAGTTTTAGTTTGAAATTCCCTCAATATTTGAACAAATTAGAGAATATCCGGATGAGGTGCACAAAAAACTTTTATTTAAATCAGAATGAAAGGTTTCACAGCAATTTGGTGTTCTGTAACTATACTAGCTTCAGCACAAGCCCAAATTTTAGGAGAAAATTTGGAATCCTCCTCTATATAATTATCAACAAGATAATCAAAATAATGTCCCAATCTTGCGTCATTCGTCAACATTTTTTCAAAATCAAAGGCGAAACAGTCTACCACTGTTTCTGGCTCTAAAAATGTCAGGCCAAGTGTCCAATGTAGAATACTTCTAATAAGTGAATCATTGCATGTTTTGTATTCGGACATCAACCATGAATTTTGGATTTTTTTAATCGAAGCTTCACTTAGATGAAATCTGCATCCTATAATTTTTGTTTCTGTCCACATGAATCTTATTAATGAATGAATTGTTTTCAAAATCCGATGCAACTTCAGCAGTTTCAACTTGATATCCTAGGTTTACGCATTCTTGGCTTATACAATTTCGAAACATTTGTTAGGGTAGGGGGTGTCCCGACAATGAGCAGGGACAGTATGCTATTGATGTCTAGAGATTAGGCTTATTTTCACCATCGGCGCAACTGATGGGTTATCATAAATTCCGGCCCCTTTGAGACCTGTATTAGACCAGGTAGAATAGGCGCAATGGGGATATCCCCCAATTTAGGCCTGTTCGTTTGTATTGCTGAACTTGCTGAAGTTGATTTTTTTCCCATAGTTGTCTGTTCATGGCATGATGTAAACAGAGAGAGTTAAAAGAAAAACTCAAGTTCAGCAAGTAGAGCAAGTACAGACGGAATAACGTCCTTTTGATTTGCTTTATATAATCTATCGCAACTTGCTCCAGTCTAACGAACACCCCACCCAATTATCAATTTCTCGGAAAAACGAACATCAAATATTGCTCACATAACTTTTTAGCAGCCTGAACATGACAAACGAAGAGGCCTCTGAAGTGAGAATTTCCTGAAATCGCTGCCTGAGTTCGAAATTGGTAAAACCAAGTATTATTAATCGCCCCAAACAAGGACATGAACATGATATGTTATTTAGAGCTGTTTCAATATTCAATTTCATATTCAATATTTGGATAATCCTCGTTCTAATTCTACTCTCTATAAAAAGTCAATAGCATTATTTAATAGCCGTAAAATATACAATTTCATCCCAGAGTCCATGAAAAATATTCATAGTCATAAATCATTCTGCAGAAAGCTGATAGCTTACATTTTTCGGGGCTCTAGAACTCTTGAAGTACTCCTACAATAGATATCTTATCTTTTTTTATTATTTGCCATAAATTTAGTTTATTTATTATTCTACTTATTGAATTCAACTTCTCATATTATCTATCAAATGTTCATAATACTCTTAGTAAATTATTGTCATTAAGTATTATTCAGGCATAAAAAGATCTCATCATGAGATCAGGTGCACTCAATTTGTTATATATCATATTATTACCAAAGCATCGTTATAATAAATTTTGAGAGTATTTATCAGATAGTGCTCTTCCAAAAAAAATTTACAGATATTTTGTTGAAATTATTCTTGGAACATGAACCCCAAATATTTATGAGATAGTTCATTTTACTAAGGATGTGAGAGTATATAGAACTGTACTTGCTACATTTGGAATATGTTTTGGACATCTTCTTAAGGCATGCACCAACTATGCGGGAAATTTTTTCTTTGGGCTTGCCAATATGTTTGTCCCATGTTAACTTTTCATCAATTCAAATACCAAGGTATTTGGTACAGGCAGTTTATTTCAATCTTTCATTTTTCAGTCTGATATTCAAATCAATATTTTGTTGATTTCTTTGATGGAAAATTATATATTGGGTCTTATTATTATTATTATATTATTATTTTTTTCAAATCCTCATTTATGTTGTTTCCTAAAATTACAGGGTTTTTGTTTTCTGATAAAAGTACTGTGTCAACTGCATATATGGCATAGTTTCCGATCAAATTTATTTTTGAAATGTTTTGAATGTATTAAAGATAAAGAATTGGGCCCAACACTGATCTTGGGGGAACTCCTTCGTTTATATATAGTATTTTAGATTTACAATTATCGATTTTAGTACTGATAGTCCTATTCTCTAGATATGTTTTCAAGAGATTGTTTCCAATACCTCTGATGCCCATTGAATTGAAATTTTTCAGGAGAATATTGTGGTCAACTGTATCAAATGTTTTTTTAGGTCCATAAAAATAGCTACTACATAATTTGTCAAGTCTATCTTGTATAATATTGATTACTTGTAGAACTGCTGGCTCTCTTGAAAACCAAATTGATTCAAGTCAAACCCATATTTTTCATTGATGAAGTCAACAATTCTCTTTTTATAACTTTCTCAAGTATTTTGGAAGAAATAATCAACAAAGCTATTGGTCCGTAATTTACCGGATTTTGAGCCTCACCGCTTTTATACATTGCCCTTAATATGAGGTGTGTTTCAATTCGAGTGGAAAAATTATGCATTGTGGAGAACATTTAAAAAATTGGGAAACCTATTTCCAATTATATGTCTGTGTGTAAGATTAAGAAGGTGATTTCATATCAAGGAAATATTTTTATGTTCAATCTATTTTTAATGCATTTTTTCATTCAAGGGAAATGGAATCCTAATGCAAAAGTTCATTTTGACAAAAGGCTTCAGAAATAAGTACCTCGAAAATGGTTTTTTTTACAGCGATTTAATGTGCGCAAGACGAGTTGAAAATGTTTTGCTGTGTCCATGAAAAGGCTTTAAAAAGAACTAGGGAGAAGGTAGTTTTGTGACATATCAAAGACATCTCGATAATTGCCGCCGAACAGAACATCGCAGTGGAGGTTCAATGTCTCGAAATCTCGTACTTTTAACATCTCTGAGATGTTTTTGTGCTCGCTGGGAACGGTGCGGGCGAGAGTTTGGATCCTGGTTGATGCTAATTCTTGTGGCATCCTTCTCAGTTACTATATAAAATACATTTGAACAATGCGTAATCCTCCGTGAGAACAAAACAGAATGGCTGAAATTTTTGATAATTTATTATTGTCATGACGTATTTAATTACATATCCTATTGAGTCAGTTCAACTGGCATAAAAGAGCAACACTTCTCTTTATCCAGTGTGATGGATGAGCATCAGTGTCCAGTAATACTGGAAGAACGTAATTTGTCGAATGACCAGTAGTGGAAAGCACACCTCTTCTGTCAGATGTTTTATATACCGGGCTAGTATACCGACCACCTGAAATGAAGAAATTATAGCTGATTTCATGAAAATTAATGTACCAAGACATTTCCCTGAAAATTATACCGGTTGATTCAATATTTATTCATTTACATTGTGATCAAAATAAGACTTTTTTCATATAAACATGTATCCTTAAATGCACCCCCTCTCAGCTATACAGCCACTGTAAATTAGGTGAAAAACAAAAGATCAGGTATCTGAAATAATGACTGAAATAACCGATCAAATCAATCTCCTGAAAATTGGTATGCTCCTGTTTTTAACATTTTATTTTCTTCTTAAATGTAAACCTAGTTTCAGGGAAGTTGGAGGGGGGTTCACATTTTTATTGGCCCAAATTTCATGGCCCTTCGACTTTGAATACTATGATCTCGTGGAACATAAAGAAAGATGATTTGGTCTCTTGCATTTAATTATTATGAAAGGGAAAGCCACGACATCGTTGTCTAACGCAATGGGTTGAACGCTTACATACAAAAGTGATCGCGAAATGCAGTTGAGACTGCTATTTCAGAGGCGTGCAGTACTGAAATACTTGCACTTGCTCTGTTTTTATTCAGATACAGATAATTTTTTTGTATCCAACTTACAGTGGCTGTAGTTTCGAGAGGGTGCATTATTTGATGAAAAATCTAATCTTGATCTCAACAATACATCCTTGAAATATTTATATTGGATTTTGTATCACCCTTCATATTATTTATGTTCAGGGTATTTCAACAGGATGAGTTAATATCCCATTCATAGATATATGCTCAGAAATAAGAGATAGTTACACGCTATTCTATTCTTAACTAGTTGCCATTAATAAAGAGTCATATAATGCAGAGATGAACAAAACAAATGGATATGAGAAAAATATGATTCTTTTTTTGGAGGATAGGTGAATTTCCATATACGTTTGTGTGATACGACATCGTGTGATGAAATGAGTTATATTTCTCGTGACTCTGATTTTGTTATTCAAACATAATAATTGAACTATAGATATATCTTGGAGTTAATCAGTATGTAGGGATTGAGTAAATAACTTATGGACCTACTTGAGCTGAGTTTCAGAATTTTATAATGTCGAAGACTTGCTTCGTAACCAAGGAAGTGTAGATGTCTATTGAATCTATGTATAATTCAGGTGAAAAACGATTTTTTTTATACTCCCAATGGGGGACTTCGCTACAAGTTATCAACCTAAAAATCTCTACCACTGTAAAAGCAATATTACGGAAGTTTGATTACTCAAAAAGCTTCATTTTGGTTAAATCTGATCGTAGGAGTCTACTTAGCTTTCTAATATAATAAGGTATTCAAATGAAAAATTAGTTTGTGTGAACTTCACATTTGACTGGTTGAAAATCATGTTGGTGCATCTGTACGTCAATACTGAAATGTCAATACCTTCAATAGTGTCAGCGTAGTATCATGAGTAAAAAATGATATATCAATAAATCATTGAATCGGTAGGTTCAAATCACGTTCGAACTGCGAATAATGATCAAGAAACTCTCCTGAGTAATGTACAAACCTATAACCTTGACTCTTCGTAATGGTAATCAAAATACCATTGTTAATAGGTTTTCATAATTATTGTTGTTCATTTCCTTTCTAGCCATGATATTTCATGCTATAATAAATATTGTGATGTTCGAATAGTCTTTTGATTTCAGCTTCCCTCAAACTATCTGTGTCTAATTATTCGAATAAAGGTATGTTATTCTTGATATATTGAAGATTGAAACCTTTGGCACGATAATACACTACACTGTTTTACCACTAACCAAACCGATTTTTTAACGCCTCGATACGTGTTTCGCTAACTATGTTAGCATCTTCAGGAGAAGATTAAAACTAGTTTGTGGAGATGCTAACATAGTTAGCGAAACACGTGTCGAGGCGTTAAAAATTGGTTTGGTTAGTGGTAAAACAGTGTAGTTTATGTTATTCTGATATTGTTGTATCCAGACATTTGTGATATATATCTGCATTATTAGAAACATGGACCAGTTTTCATCCGAGTTGAGTCGTGTGAGCTTTGAAAGTATTTATTGAATGATTTCTTTTCCCTATTGTTATATTTTTTGGAAAATGATTAGTATAACATAGGTATATGTTTATATATTAGTGTTTTCATTCATTATATCGACTTTGATTTTCATTCGTTTCCATACAGTCATGGTTCCATCCACTTGAGGACACTTCCTTGGGGTATTTTTGATTTGAGGAAAAGGTTGAAACTTCATGACTCGATTTTTGCGAAGTCATGGCTGGATCGATTTTTAGCAATCAAGTGAAATATATTTCTACTTCATACTGTTACGATCAAACTTCTTTATCAAAGAATGATGAATAATTGTGTTGTCCATGAATGAAATAATCTTAAATATGTAACAAAAATGTGACAATTTAATGTTTCTTCTGAATAACTGTTATTAGTGAGCTGAGTAGATTACTTCAATCAGATTCCATCAGAATAAAGCCATTCGAGTGATAAAACTTTAACAATGTTGCTTCTACATTGGTAGAGGTTTTCAGGTTGGCAACTTGTGAATTTGAGATTTCTGGTTACCAGTGAATTGTAGAGGATGATAATAGATGATTGAGTTTTGGAATCTCTGGTTATTTGTAATATGTAGCCTAAATATCTTAGAGACTTTTTTGCAATTTGTTCCTAAAGCTGGTCAAAATTCAATGTGGAATGAATGATGACTCCAAGATCACGGATATGGTCTACACTTTCGGAGGTGTCATTATTTATATGTATAGTCTCCTGTATTGGATCGTAACCTGACACTTTCTGGTGTTTGGATGTAATATATGCTCAGAGCAGATGATTTGACATCAGTGAATATCAGATTGGAGGTCGATGCAATCGTTTATATTACTGATTATTTTATGAATTTTCATGTCGTCAGCATACTGGGAAAAATTTCAGTACAGGAAACAGTTGCCTATATCGTTTATGAAAATAGTCAACAGAAGTGACCCCAAGTTTGATCCCTGCGGTACACCGTATATAGAGCACTATGCGTGTAAGAAAAATAGTGTCATCGAGAGTCATGAGGTAGAGTTGTGACTGCATTTTTGATACTGGCCTGAGTCCATTGCATGAAAGGTCAACATCCAATTATTCCAATTGGGTACGTAACATGGATGTCCGAATATGACGACACTAATCCACCATACGTCCGAAATTCCGAGGACATCAAATAGACGTCGTGCGACCGAAAAGATGATAAAAATATAGGGTGGCCCAAAAGTGATGGATTAAAATGAAGTTTGAATGTGGTTACCCAATTCTCGATACTTCAAAGGTTTGGTATTTTGGTATATTAGCACATTTTATTCATCGCTCTAATTTTGGAAACACTCTGCATAGTCCAATTGGTTATTGAAACGCCGTTTGCCATTAATTATTTGTTTTGTATTCATTTCACTTGTGAAGCTATCGTCAAATATGAAAAAATCAAAGATAAACAGAAAATGTTATCATATTGACTTGAAATAATATTATGAAAATTATCACGATCGTATATAATACATAAATGCGAAGTGCACGTGCATGTATTTCTCCATAATGGTTCAATTTGCATGACTGAAGGTGTCAGATATTATATTTGATTTTTATTGCCCGAATATCTGATAAGAGAATTTCAGGAATAGTGTAATCGACTTCGCTTTGAATCTGACATTGAAAACCAAGAAACTGTATTCAGCAATGTGCAAGGTTCCACAAATTAATATTGTTAAAAAATGCAAATAAATTGTGACTCTCATGGCTCAAACAGCCAGCATGAGCTCTGCTATCTCTTCATGAAAAAACATGTTCGTGCTTTTCTAAAGTACAGAATCAATTAATATCAGTCAAACAATCCATTTTTGAGAAATCACATGAGACAGGTCGGTTATTATTCTCGATTTGCCACATTCATAACGGAATATTGAATAAACAGGGTGATCGACAATTTTTCCAACGGAAAACCCTATGTACAGGGTGATCAACTTATACTCCGGAGTTCGATACCTCTATTGCCTTGAGAGATACGAGAAAAAGTTCAATATCAAAATTGAAGTGATAAGCGAGCTCCACATTTCAAAATTATTTTGAATCATACAGGTTGTTCCATAAGGTCACAGCATATCAATGTTATGTGTTTTTCAAAGGAACACCCTATATATTATCTTGAATTTGAACTCTACTCATTTTCCCCATTCTGGCAATATAGAGTTTTACTAGATTCTACAGAGTACTTTCAGAGCTATGGCCACTTTTATATAAAAATCTCAACGAAATCCTCGCTCTGTATATTAATCAGAACGAACAACTGAGGGTTCGGCTTTTATTGTCAAAAGGATTTGATAATGGTCTAGTCTCGTTTCAAACCATCACGTTTTTAATATCTCTCATTTTGTACACAGGGTGAACCAAAACTAGTGCCGATGATTTTCTCAGTTATTTCAAATGAAACACCCTGTATTTCATGGCATATTTAAAAAGTAGTCACCAAATTATTTTACTTTTATTGAGCATTCCTTATACCTGAATGTTACTGTTATCGAATTATTTTGATTTTTAAGAATAAAATCGACATGTTTGGCAAATGTAAGTCTGTTTTAGAGTAGGCCATGTCTGCTTGTTTCCAATTAACATATCAATGCACAAAAACACACATACACCAAGAATAAGATTTTATTTCCATATGATCATAGATTTTCTTATTGAACAATAATAACTGGCGACAAAAAACCGAATATAAAAATCAAAATAACCATAAAAATTGCTCGAAGTGACCTCCCATTACATTCAAACAGTGTTGTATTCTATTTTCGAATGATATACCCACACTTCAAGACTTTTGTTTTTGTATAAATGACGATAACTCCGTTGTTATCAACACAAAACTATTACTGCGCCATATCATCTGTGAGAGAAAAAAAAGTTATTTGTAACTAAGTCATAGTGAGCTATGACCTACATGTGAAAAAGTAAAGTTGGTGCT